AGTATATTATACAGGATGTTAGTGGTTGTCATCCAGTATATTTTACAGGATATCTGTATTTTATAAGCTTTCTGTCCTGTATAATATACTGGGTGAGTTCTGTTCAACCTAAAATTTTGTATTTTTAGTTTATTTTATCTAGTATATTATACTGGATGTTAATGGAACTCCAGTATGTTATACTGGAAGAATATTATAAAATAGTTAATTTTTGTTTGATGCCCGTAAATTTTACAGGACGTGTGGCATGAGCTTTATCTCCAGTATATTATACTGTGTAAGTTAACTGAATTTTATTTACTTTTCTTTTTACAGGTTTGTTTACATGTTTTTTATGTATGGGGCATCAATTTCTGGGTGGAAGTATTGTAGACCACTAATTGCTGTTGATGGAACATTTCTAAAAAATAAATATAGAGGTGTTCTATTAGTGGGTGTTACCAAAGATGCAAATAACCAGATTTTTCCTATAGCTTTTGGAGTAGTGGATAAAGAGAATAATGAATCATATGAATGGTATTTCAGGGAATTAAGAAAAGCAATTGGGATTCATAATGATTTAATGTTCTTGTCAGATCGACACAAGGCTATTGCAAATGGAATTGCAAAGGTTTTCCCTGAGTGCTACCATGGAATTTGCATCTATCATTTAGAAAAGAATCTGAAGCAAACAAGAGTGAGAAACACTGTGATAAATCTCTTTCAAAGTGCTGCAAGAGTATACCTTCAATCAGAATTTGATGACTTCATGTCCCAAATAGCTGCTGTTGATAAGAAAACTTTCAATTATTTGATGGAGGAACCGCCAGGAAGGTGGGCTCGTTCACATTGTCCCAGAAGAAGATATGATATGTTAACAACAAATATTGTTGAGTCAATGAATAATGTTTTAAGACGTTCAAGAGAATTGCCAATTTTAACAATGATGGATTTCATACAAGAAAAATTGCAAAGCTGGTTCTATGAAAGAAGGACACTTGCAGAAAGAATATTCCGTGATATATCAAATTGGGCAGAAGCAACATTGGAAGCAAAAATTCAACCAGCTTTTACATTTAGACTATTGCCCATTGATAGACTCAAATTCAATGTCAAAGAAGGTGGTATGGAATTTATTGTTGATCTAGACAAAAGAACATGTGATTGTTCTGAATTTCAGCTAGATGAGATGTCATGTGAACATGCAATTGCTGCAATTGAGAGTATACATCAAAAGAAATCGGCCTTTTGCTCGGCCTATTTTTCAAGGGACTTTTGGTTGAAAACGTATTAAGGGCAAGTAAATTCTGTAGGTGATGCAACAACATGGGTTATACAAGATACTATTAAATCAGAAATCACTAAGCCTCCAGATGCCAAAGTACTGCTAGGAAGAAGACAGAAGAATCTACATGTTTCCGGTACAGAATTCAAGAAGGAACCAAGATGTAGTCGTTGCAAAAAATATGGGCATACCAGAACAAATTGCACAAATTCTGCTGTAGTTCATCCTTATACAAGAAAATATAGGGAAAAAAATGATTGAATATATACAATAAACTTGCATTGGCTGATGTAATCCCGAATAATATATATTCAATATTCTTGTTTTTCAAAATATTAATACTGTGTATTTTTTTTTTTGCTTCTTGATTTGCTTACAAAAAAACCACTATGTCGTAAAAACATAGTGGTTTTACGACATATAACTCCAGTATATTATAAAGGAAACAAAATATTAAATTATGTAATTCCACTTACTTTCATTTTGTCCAGTATATTTTACTTGATGTTAGTGGTTATCCTGTAGTTAATTTTGTTTGATTCCAATAAATTTCACAGAACATGTGCCTTGTATAAGCTTTATCTCCAGTATATTATACTAGTTGAGTTCTTTATTATTAGTCATTTTTTTTAGTGATTTTTCATATCTAGTATTAAATACGGGGTTTACTGCTTTAACAATATATTACTCCAGTGTAACATACAGGAAACAAAAATTGGATGAATATAGGATAAAAAAATCTGCATTATTCTATTCCAGTAGTAATTACAGGATATAGTGGTTTTACAATATAACACTCCACCAAATTATACAGGAAACTAAAAATTAAATTATTTAATTCCAGCAAATTGTTCTAATTACCAAATTTCAACAATTTTTCACTTATCCATTATAATATACTAGATTATATTCCTTCATGAGTAGCGATTCCAGCATGTAATATAGCAGGTAATAAAAATTGTATGAGTATAGGATAAAAAAATCTGCATTATTCCATTCCAGTAGTAATTATAGGATATAGTGATTTTACAATATAAAACTCCAGTATAATATACAGGAAACGAAATATTAAATTATTTAATTTCAGTAAATTGTTCTAATTACAAAATTTCCAGTATTTTCCACTTTTCCATTATAATATACTGGATTATATTCCTTCATGAGTAGCGATTCCAGCATATAATATACGAGATAATAAAAATTGGATGAATATAGGATAAGAAAATGAGCAATATTCATTTCCAGTAACAATTACAGGATATAGTGGTTGTAGAATATAAAACTCCAGTAAATTATACAGGACACTAAATATTAAATTATTTAATTCCAGCAAATTGTTCTGGATACCAAGTTTCCACTATTTTCCACTTCTTCATTATTATATTCTGTATTATATTCCTTCATGGGTTGCGATTCCAGCATGTACTATAGGAGGTAATAAAAGTTGGATGAATATAGGATAAAAAAATCTGCATTATTCCATTCCAGTAGTAATTACAGGATATAGTGGTTTTACAATATAATACTCCAGCAAATTATACAGGAAACGAAATATTAAATTATTTAATTTCAGTAAATTGTTCTAATTACAAAATTTCCAGTATTTTCCACTTCTCCATTATAATATACTGGATTATATTCCTTCATGAGTATCGATTCCAGCATATAATATACGAGGTAATAAAAATTGGATGAATATAGGATAAAAAAATGAGCAATATTCATTTTCAGTAACAATTACAGGATATAGTGGTTGTACAATATAAAACTCCAGTAAATTATACAGGACACTAAATATTAAATTATTTAATTCCAGCAAATTGTTCTGGATA